TCCATTAACATCAGTATCACCTTGAGCATATATAAATTGAGCAAAAGTGATATTATCATAAAGAATCTATAAATAATAATTTAATTTGATAAGAATTATGAGAAATATAAAAATGTCTTTCGTTTGGTATGTCCAAAAGGCCACCAATATTTATTTCAAGCTGAGAGTGAAGCAGAAATGAATGATTGGATATCAAAGATTAATTATGCGGCTACATTTAAAACTGCTGGATTAAAAATGAGAAATCTTCGGAATCCTTATGTTGGACAACAGAGACGAGGTGCCAGTAGTGGTGGATTGAGATTTGGAATTGGAATGTTTGGAAACAGTCATGATGCTGCTGCAAAAGAATCACAAGGTCGGGTCAATTTGGTTCGGGTAAGTTCATTTCTTAACATGAACTTTGTAATTCAGTCATTGTATTATTTTATTTAAATTATACATATTATATGAATTATAATTTCTTCTAGGCAAAAATTGATGAACTTCAAGGAAAAATTTCCGCACTAACATCACAGCTTCAAACTGATATTCGATTCAGAAATAATCTATTTCTAATGATACCATATAAAGCATCAACAAGAGATCGTATATTACAAGTAGCAACTTCTGTAGCGTCTCGACTAAAACATACTTGTTTAGAATTAAGTAGGCTTGTATGTTATAACGAAATTCTTGAAAAAGACTTATGTTCAACGGTAATGGAAGACAAAACATATTGGCAAAATCGAAGAAGTTATTTTACTCCTGGAGATAATAACATGGATGATAATTCTTCATTTCTATTTACGCAATCGAATTTTCCATCAAAAACTTTGGGTGTTCCTGAGACATTCGGACAATTATTTGTCAAAGAACCGATTAGTAGTAGTAATAAACTACTCGATCCAGCTGAAAGGGATGCTGAAAATAATTTACGACCAGCTACTATGACTTTATTACCTTGTAGTTCTACATCTTCTTTATCTTCAAATTCAAGTACTGGCGGATCCAGTAGATTGACTCTTTCAATTAATGGTGATAACGAAGAAGAGTATGACTTTCAAGGAAATGTTTCAGAGTATGAACTCGAGATATTTCCACAAAATGGTAATCGTAATGATGAAGATCGAGATGATATTAGTTTTAGGGATGATGCTAGTAGTATAATTATACTTGAAGATATTAGGGATCAATCATCTTTAGTGAATAGAAATGAAAACGAAGAATACGAAGCTAGTGTGCATGAAGTTGGATCCGAACACGATGGAGAACGTTCAGAAGGGAGAATACATGCAACAGAACATAATGAAATTGTGACATCATCATTAGAAAATGAGAAAGTGTGCAAATTCGAAAATGAACCGTTAATTATTGGAAATGTTCCAAAGATTCAATTTGAAGTTCCTCAAATTCAGCTAGATTTGAAACCTGAGAGTAGGCCACCAACGAGCTTAGGTTTAGGAATAACATCCAATGAAGTAACGGTACCTGTTCTTGTTATATCAGCCGTTGAAGAAGAATTAAAGGATGAAACGAATGATGGTGACGTTTCGGATGATGGTGGAGATCAATTTGTCGATGCTGAAGAATGGGGATCGTAATTTCACTATCATGTTGGTTGTAATTTTAAGAATTAATAATATTCTCTATAGTATTTAATAATATTCTTAAGTTGATAAGCCTAAAAAAAGTTGAATAAATCATTTTTATTATTCATTAATTTGTATATTATTTCTTTTTGTAAATTTGTCATTTTTATTATAGATTAGTTATTTAACAATTTTGCAATGAGTTGATTCATAGATTTACTAGAATTATTAGATTAATTAATTTGCAACAATTCTACATATACTTTTTTTTTAATTAAAAAATATATTATAATACATTAAATTCTAAAATTAATATACTATATATCTATTGATATAAATATAAATATAAATATATATAAATATATATAGTATATATATGAAAATTTATTAGTTTACACATAGTTTTATTCACGGGTATAATTTATTGAGTTACATATTCGTGTTATATCAAAATCAATAATTACAAACGAAAAATCAAACCCTCGCCTACGGTTAGGGTAAGGGTGGGATTGGGATTGGGCAAGGTATAGTTTATGCCAAAATTTCGCAAGGAATTTTTTTTGTTAGAAGCCAAAAGGTGGTTTCATAATCAAAATTTTGAGATATCTATATTGCTCGTGTACAAATAGAAATTGCCTATAAATATATAAATACGTATATAAACTTTATTGCCTATAAATATATAAATACGTATAAACTTTATTACGTATTAGGTTTTAATAACAATTAAATAATGAATTTTGGATTGAAAATATTTTATTTTATTTACTAACGCTAAATAAAATTATTCGCACAGCCCAACATAGTAGCAAAATGCCGAAATAATTTCAAATGGTAACCAATAATCTCCAGGTTAACTATAACTAATCTTTTAGTATCTTATTGTTAGTTCTGCTATTTTAAGTACTTCAGTTCGAAAAAATTTAATAAAATGTTTATAAATATACACAGCATAAACAAAGTACTATGCAGTAAAACAAAAATACATAGTAAAGTTCTATTGTATCGCGATGTTTTATTGAAGGATATTTTGTCTAAAATTTAATTAAATCAGAATAATTGATAAAAATAACTAAAGATTTCTTTGCATCGTACATAATTCTTATTGCTCGCATATATATGTTTGTTGTACGTATATACTGTACGTACGTAAATTATTCAATTAACCCGAAATATGAACCATTCATAGTGTGTACGTTCGCGCGGCAGATTTTAACATAGCACACATGCATCATTATTTATGTAATGTTTATGATCAACCTTAATTATTTATTTTCGTTTCCTCTTTTTTTCTATTGGTCTCTCTTGACAAAGAAATATACTACGAAAGCGTAAAATCGCAAAAATAAATGTGTATATTTAGTGTTCCGAACCACCCCAAAAATCCCAACCCGGGTCAACTTGTGTGTGGGTCACCGGGTCATAAGAAAGTCTACAACGGGTCACCCGAGATATAGATATTTTATTTGCCTAAGTTTTTAAATCAGAAGAATCAATGTATTGCCAAGAATCGCGACCAGTTTTATTCTTATATCTTTTATATAACCTAGAATGAATTTTATCTGTTAAAATGCTTGGCAATTCTGTTAATTTAGCCTCCCACACCAAATATTCAGGAATTAATGTTTTATTGGCTTTTGCCTATGTATTCATGTTTCTATTTTATATGATTTTATATCTCTTTAAATTAACAATAGCCAACAAAAAAATAAATATACCTCAGAAGGATGTGGAGTTTGTACCCGGTTATCCACGGGTAGTCGGATATCCGGATTGTAATTACAGCAACCCGGGTAGAGAAGTATATCCGGGTAATCATGCGAATAATTATCCGGGAATCAACAATTCGGGGCTAAATTGTTAATTAGTGGGAAACGGGTCAAGTGAGTTCATTGTCGCGATAAAAAAAATAAAGGTCTCAACCATCAGAGAGTTGTGCCGATTGACTAAAACTTAATATCCACATTTTGAGATATAACTATTGTAACGAAATCGATAATGGCCAACCATATTAAGAGATGCTTAAAGGCATTCTTAATTATAGTTTTAAAATCTGAATAATTTAAGCCCAAATGAGTTTTTTTTTATTATTGCATAAAACAAAATAAACATGGATTATTTTCTTCTATCTGAAATCTTGTTATAACCCAACAAGCATAGCCACATAAGACCGTAATTTAATCTAACTACATAATCTACTACTTAAAATCAAACTATGTTAAAAAAAGGATTATAAGATATGTACGTATAATATGTATAGTACATACCGATACAAACCAGATTGAATCTTTTGCATTTTGCGCAACCTATAAAAAAATAAACTTCACTTACATACATCTCTTAATTAATACTTAATAAACAAAATTTAGATATAAATATAAAATTTATATTTTATGTTTAGCATAGACAATTAGTGTAAAAAAAATACAAATCATAATTTACCTTTTTTTAAAGACATTATAGTATTAGTTTGTTACGAGTTTGCTGTAATGTTTTTTTTTGTTTAGCATTTTAGCAATTTAGCATTATAGTCTTGCATTTTGGTAAAACTCAAACACTAAATAAAAACAAATCATTACCAAAAAACATGCATAAATTTTACCCTCTTATGGGAATAATCTATTAATAGCAAAATGCTAAAATCGTAAAATATTAAAAAAAAATTGTTGCTAAATTAAGAATATAAATAACTGTCTTAATATTAAATACACATAGTGTAAGAAATATTGCTAAAGTTTCAAAGGATGCATATGACAAAAACTACCAAAGCCACTAAATATTATAATAAAATATTGCTAAGTTCAAAATTACATTCAAAGAAAATTTGCTAAAGACTATTAGATATATAATCGCATAAATATTTTTTACTATAATTTTTTATATAATTTATAAAATAATGAATTATCTTTAATAAAGTTTAAAAATTTATATAAAAAGTTGTGGTTTGTCTTTTGCAGTATAAGAAATATTTTATAAATAAACTAAATAAATTTAATTATAATACTTGATACACAATTTAATTGTTAATTTTTTTTTGAATTCAAATCTTTATTTTATATAAGCATAAAACTTAAATATATATGAAATAAAATAGTAAAAAAATTTCTTTTATTTTTTTAACAACTATGAATATTAATAATAAATATAGTTCTAATAATAATCTTATATTAACTTTTGTACTAATCCTATACAAATTTTTATATTAACCCTGACACTAATCTTCAACATAATAATAATAAACTTTCTAGAGCTATAACTAAAAAAAAGATTACTAATGATCTTATAGAAAAACAAAATACAAAAACAATTAAAGTAAAATTTAATAATTTAGCAATTAAAAATCCAAGTTATATTTGAAAATATTTTTTGGTTAAAAAATAAATATGCTTATTGTAAAAGATTAGTATTTAAAAAAGATGATAAGATTAATGGATAGGAGATACCCGTACTATTTGTAGTATAGTATACTATATTGTGATACTTTTAAAGCTAATTATTTATTAATTTAACAAATTAATAAGCTATTAAATATATGTATTAAGTATTTTATATATGGGGTAATATATATTTAATATTTAGTAGCTCTAAGTATTTTTTTAATTTTTTAGAATTTTTTAAAAACTAGCATTTTTTTCAATTTTTTTACTAGTAAATTTTTATAGTAAAAATGTGAATATAATTTTTAAAATTTTTAAACTTAAATTACTTTTAATAGATTAGTTTAATTTTAAATATTTTAATAATAAA